TGAAACTGGGTGAGGGATGAACGGGGTCACTCCATACTCTTTCCAACTTCTCTGTAAACCTACAATTAAAAAGACCTATGGAGATATATATATGTACATTCTTTCAACGTTTTGTTATGAATAAATGCAATCTTTAAAAATAAGCTGGAATCAAAGGCAACTAGCAACAACTACTAACTCTTTCATGTTTTGAACATTTTATTGTGGTTTGGGTGAAGGTTTACAGAGCACATTTGTTTCTCATTCAACAGTTTATGCACATTGTGTTTTGTGACATTAGTTACAATCCCCCCAATGCAGCGAGACTCTTCCCACTTCTCTCTGGGTTCCCCATTTCCGTTCCCCACCTTTCCTGCCCCTTCCTGCCTTCTGAGTTCATTTTGGGGCCAGTGCTACCCTCTTGGTCTCATATGGTCGATTGTTCTGAGAACCACCGTCCTCACAGTTGTTTACTTTCTAGGCCTGTCTGTTGTTGGGCTGAAACATGAGCTCGGGGAGTGGGTCCGTTCTGAGTTAGAAGGGTGTTTAACGGCTGTAGTCTCAGGGGTTTTCCCAGTCTCTATCAGACAGGTAAGTCTGGTCCTTTTTCATGATTTTGGATTTTGTTCTACGTTTTCTACCACTCTGTCCAGGCCCATCTATTGTAATCTCAGCCAGAGGTCAGTAGCCGTAGCCAGGGACCATCTAGTTCTTCTGGTCTCAGGCTAGTGCAGGCTGAGGTTCGCGTGGTCCCTTAGTCCACTGGACTAATTGGTTCCCGAGTCTTCAATTTTCTTTATTATTCTTTGCTCCAGACAGGAAGAGACCGATAGTTGTATCTTAGATGGGCCACACTTGTTGTTTGTTGGTAGGTGCTGTTGAGTCATTGCCAACTCATAGCAACCCTGTGTACAACAGAACGAAACACTGCCTGGTCCTGTGCCGGGCTCACAATTCTTGCTATACCTGAGCCCATTGTTGCAGCCACTGTGTCAATCCATCTCGTCGAGGGCCTTCCCCTTTTTTGTTGACCCTCCACTTGACCAAGGATGACATTCTTCTCCAGGGAATGGTCCTTTCTGACAACATGACCAAAGTAGGT